TTCGCAATCCTTAGGAGCTGGAGCTCGCTTTAAAAATACCTGTATGCCTTCAACGCGGTGCTGCATATGCTGTTTGTCAAAGCAGCTCTCGGCACCCTGCTTCCAACGAGGGAGGAGGTAAAGGTGGGGCCGGGCAGCAGTTTGGGTCCATTTTTCAAAGCGATGAGCCTAACGAACACAGTGAGCGAGGGATCCTGCTGCACTGCATTCAATGAGACCCTCGCTGCAGGACACAGAGCGGGGCTGCTCGGCCACAGCATGCCCTGAGCTCATCCCCCTGCTCAGCACAGGATGGAGTCCAGTGTAATCAATCAATCAATCAATACAAATCAATGTATTCGTTTGGCTACACTTCTGCTCCTTCCCTTCCCCGCTCTCATGCCTTTATAATTGCTCCTGCCAGGCGATGAGGAAAAACACGAGAAACCGATGCCCCGCAACGAGAAACTTTGCTTAAAAACCCAGGTGTCACATTGTGGCAGTTCAATATTTCATAGCCAATACGAGGAATGTGCAACAACACTGCAACTTTAAATCTCTGCCTCTGTGTCAGTCTCTCTCCTCTCATTGTAATGCCAAAGGGAACAGCAATCAGAGTGGAGATGTTCAACGTGATAGAGGTCAGGACACCGGTGGATCAACGTACCAGAAACACGACCTTGTTTATTTTTTTCCCCGGTGTTATTGTTTACAGGGTGCTTTGCTCATGTACCTTGTGGTTCTTAGCTAAAAGATGAAATTACAGCCCAGGATGAAGCGCTCAGGCACACATCCAATTTGTGTTTCCATCTCAGAAAACAAAAAGCTTCGGAGGCCCTCGGGCTGCCATTCAAACTTGGAGAGGCTGACATTTTTAACAGCATGAACCAGAGACTGGCAGAGGGAATGATCTAATGCATTTCTGACTTGTCAATCAAAGGCCTCACCTCTGCTGTCTTGTAAACAGTTGGGGGCCACCTAACTACGTCCATAAACAGGGGCGAGCTGCCACCAGCCGGGGGTTCCACAGCCAGCTGCTCCAGCTATCAGCCACCAGAATTAGGAGTCAGTTGTAAGGGCTCCCTGCAAACAGCCCCCAGGCACGTTCCACGCAGCCTGTGGGGGAGCTGGACGCAGGCTGGGCCAAGGGACCTTGCTTCTCTGCGCTGGGGGCTGCAGGCTGGACAGCTGTCTCCCTCCCCACCTACACCTACCAACAGAAGTCTTCTCCAAAGCCAAACCACTTCCTTCAAATGCATTTCACGTGAACACATTTCCACCTATACACAGCTTGCCCACCTCAAGACCTTGCCTTAAATACCCAGGAAAACCATAAATAATGTACTGCTCTTCACACTTACTGCGTATTTCAGGTTGGATATTAGGTAAAAAACCTTCCCAGAACGAGTGGTCAGGCTCTGGAACGGGCTGCCAAGGAAGCCTCCATCCCAGGAGGTGTCAGAGAACCTCTGAGGGACGTGGTTTGGTTGGCATGGTGGGGTGGGTAGATGGCTGGACTGGATGATCTTACTGGCCTTTTTCAGCCTTAATGATGGACTCCATGATTCTCAGCAACAAGACATCAACTCTTACGGTAAAATCACGCTGGTACTGCAGAACCTCAGGTGTGTTCCTGCTTACATTAATGTGACCAGCATGGGGTGCCCATGCCTTCCTTCCTCAACCAGGACAGAGCCAACAAGGAGGACGCTTCACTTCTGCAAAACCAAGCTGGGTGCAGTTATTTGTGATCAATTCAGTAACACATTACTCTTGTCCCATAAAGTTTACCATCTACACTGGAACCAATATTTGTAAGGGGTGTCAGTTGGGTAAGAAGTAAGAAAGAGACTCTTTCCTGTGATTACCCCAATGCATAACCTTTGACAAGAATTTAAAATTGCTCCTTAAGTGTCTTCATCCATACAACAGCCTACAGAAATAAACTCAAAGAGATATTATGATCTTCTGCAAACCTGGAAGGCTTAATGCAGTCACTCTCTTGGCGTAGCTGATGGATGTAATTATAAATCAGAATTTTCAAAGAACTGCGACTATTACAGGCAACATAAACTGAGCCCTGTGAGCATGCATGGCAACTATTGCAAAAAGGGAAAGTAATCACCTCCAAATAAAACTGTCATGAAAACCAGTACCAGTTGGCACATCTGGAAACTTCAAAAACATGAATTTCTAGGAGAAAATACATTCTACACAAGTTTATTTGTATTAGAGGAATCTACTTGCAACCTAGTTTTCAGTTGCTCTGCAGTAAAATTTGGCGCCCACAACACTGAAAATGAAATGTCTGGCCCTTTTCTAAAACAGCCTTTAGGAGTTCATGTTCCAATCTGCTGCCTCCTTTCACCATGATCTCTATGAAATTCAGTTAGACTATCAGTTGCAAAGCCTTTCGAGATAAAAGATGTTAAAAAAACAAAAACTGTTTCTAGCTCCTTAGTCCCTCATTGCTGGATTTAGCCTTAAAACCTTTCCCACTGCGAGACGGTTGACAAACAGAGCTGAGCAACCAGAAGATCCTGTTTTCACACAAGTGTCTCCAATAATAAAAACACACAAAGAAGAAAAATGAAGTTATCTGATGTATTAACAGAATCATCTCTAGATCGACTATCTGCCAATGTTTCCCATGAGGAGTCAGCAGGGCTTCAACTGAGCTATTCAAAAAGAGCCTGTTTCCACATTGCTGTCTGAGCATCTGAAGGTAAGCATGTAAATAACCAGACAAATTCAGCAGTGACTAAGTGGCCTTCCAGATGGCACCTTCTCTTTTGCCACAAGCAAAGAACATTGATATGCTTCTCCAGTTACTACGAGCTTGCTAGGGAAAAAATAAAATAATACGAGAAAAATTGCTGGGCTACAAGAAAAGCCTTCAATGCTTTCCTGCAGATTCAATACTAAAACAGACATGAAGAAATGATGAGATATTCCAACCTCGCAGTTTCAAGCAGCCTTCCAACCACTCCCATGTAGACCACCACACTTGGAAATGCTGAAGCCAATCCTCCCACTGGGGAGCTCTCCTCAGACCATGCAAGTTAATGGGAATCAAAGCCCATGGAAAAACGGGCTGAAGAACGGGTGACTCATTGCTGCAGAAGCTGTTGCTGGCATTTAGTTTCTCAAGTGGCACTAAATGAGTTCCTCAACGTTTAGTCAGAGTGCTACAAAGACGACCAGTGTACCTCTTCTGACAGCAAGTCGGGCAGGCCTCCCCAATTCCCATAGTCACTAAATATCCATGGAAATGTCTCACCAAATCGGCAGGAATGTGAATGCCAAGAGCCCTCCTGCACTTCCAAGAAGGCACTACATGGTGCACGGTTCAGCTGCTGGCTCATCTGATCCCAAATACCAAGAACGTGCTGTATGAGCAGAAAAGTTACTGTTCATATCCGTCAGTAACATCTTGAGCTTCCCTTTCCCTTTTGAATATATGCTTATTGTGAGTAATCAAAAGTAATTCAAGTAGAAAGAAAGTCACAATCTGAGTTTATAGATTGTTTTCAATATACTGCTAAGGTTCTCTGAAACCTGAGCTTAAAGAGATCAGAGATTTATACAGCAGCAGATAGCCCAAAAATGAGGCCCATCCGATTTAGTCAAATTATGCAAATCAGGATTAGAAGTAGGATTCTAAATTCTGCCTGTCGTCTCCAGAGTCCTCTTAGACTAATACAAAGTCTTCTTCCCCCTCCCCCACAGAAAGCTCTGCTAAAAGCTTGCTTCAGCAAAGGAGGGCTGGCAGGACACCTTCCAGAGTCCAGCAGTGCTGCTGCTGGCTCAGCAAAAAGAGTTGCAGCAAAATGATGCAAGACACTTAAGCCTCCCCTGAGACTGAGACGATTATTTCCACAGCACTCTCCTAGTCCTGGGAGCAGGAAGCCAAATGCGAAATAATCTCTGCATGCAATCCTTTAGAGGCAGATAAACATCCATCAAGACGATTCTGAAGTTTTCAGAAAGATTCTGGTCTGCTCGTTGTCTGGTATTGCAAGATGCTGGTGAATAAAACTCTCTGCCACTGGTTAGGACAACAAATCCTGCAGCATAAGCGTTGAAACAAACCTTTACGCTACCATGAGCACGTTCTGCAAAATTACTTCTCTAGTCCCTCACTCACTGCAGTTCACAAAGAACCATCTCAGACAGAATATACAACACAGACAGAACATCTCTGCAGCCCAGCCCGGCTCCTCCCCGGTTTATACCCACATGCCATCATTAAACGCTTACAATGATCCTGAGAGCTCTGGTTAGGTTTCTAGCCACCAGCCTAGCAGCTGCCTCACTCTCTCCCCACAGGAGAGTGGCTGAATTCCATAAGCTTCACTGGCCATCTAAAACACCTGAACAAATTCTGTTCCACAGAAAGCTGTCTTATGACAGAGAAAAGCTTGAACCTCACTAACTCAGAAGCCAAAGAAAACCAGGCACCTTGATCTGCCATCTGACTGACAACTTACTTGTACAGTAATTTTCTAAAGTCAAAGCATCCGCACTACCTCTACCAAACGTGAAGTAAGCAAAGGCAGGCATCAGCCAGCAGCGTGGCAATGAACCCACCCCCCTCAGTCCTCCAAATGGCACACGGAAAATTTAGACATGAAGGAAATCACTGTTGGACTTAACAATCCTGGGGGCCTTTTCCAACCTCGGTGATTCGATTCTAGGATCGGAGACTGTACAATGGATACCGTTTGCAAAACAGAATTGAGTGGTATATTTTGGACACAACTAAAAGCTGATGGAAATGCTGATGGTACCGAGCCAATTCAGGCAAAATAATCAGGTTAAACCGAAGCGATGGAAATGCCCCAGTACTGAGCCACCCTGCATCTACACAAGATGGGTTTAAATACTGGAGGAGTTCTGAATGGCACAGGAAAGGCATACGGCATGAAGCAGAGCAAATGGAAGTAAAGCAAACAAAGAAAAGAAGCAGATGCACACAGACATGGGTGGAGAGGAAAGAAGAGCGGAGAGACGGAAAGTACCTGGAAAGCTGGGAGTGCGCCAGTCCCTGGGTTATACAGGCATCGCAGCGAGGGCATGCTGTCCGCCAGGCTGGAGCAGCCCAGCCACAGAGATCTGGGCATAGAGCACTGCAGAGAAAGGACAACTATGAGATGGGACCGTATGAGACAGGATGGCACAGATTACAGGAACTTTCAAGGCGTAGCCAAACGGCATCAACACAACTGAAACGAGCCTTAAAGACTGAGACACCTTTAAGAGAACACAAACTGCTGATGAGACTTCCTTCAGAGAAGCTTTACAGTGGCAGAATAGCAAGAAAAAAAAAAGTACTATGGACCAGGAAAGTAATTTTTGATCATTTCTCTAACGCTAACACGAGAGCTTTTCTGCTAATAAAAAGTTCCTTTCCAATTAATCAGACCTCTTCCCCATCCACAGCACAGCCACATTCCAGGCACAACAAAACACAAGGGATGCCGAAAAGGAATCAACAATTTTAAATGAAATGCTGGCAGGGAAAGAAAGGATTCATATGTTTGGGTTTAGAAGGAGGAACCTGCAAGCCAAGGTGAACAGGAACTTGGTGATACTGTATAAGAGTTCCACGTTTCTGCTTGCCTCGTTAGTCATTAAATAAAATACTGCTATTACCACAAAGAGGCTCTGTTTGTCAAAGCACAAATACAAAAAAAAGGAGCCAAAGCAGCCAGTCAGGGAAAATGCTAGCCATTTTGTATAGTTAAAGCCAGCACTCACCAAAATACAGGCAACTGCTTGTTCATTTAAAATCACTGCTATTAAATTTCAGGACACATTATGATAGCTAACGCCTTTACCAGCCACACAGTTTTGGATGCCACAAGCATTGCTGCATTTGTCTAATTACACTTAAGGAAGGAAAAAAAAAAAAAGCAAGTCTATTTTAAATGGGCAGCTAGCTATGAAATCTATAGGATGTGACAGATTAGATGCTGGACGTTTCAGACCCTTGCACCCTTCTTTTTTGCAACCCTCCTGCCCTTTTTTTTTTTTTTTTTTAAGGGGGAGGGGAGGAAATCTGAGTGGGAAGGGCAGCTGGAATGGGTATGAAATGACAGCTGCCTTTTGAGCAACCATTTCTTGCTCTGAAGAGGTCTAGAAAAGCTTGCACTAGTTTACTATGTAGGAGCAGTGCAACCCACCTTGGATCGAGCAGAACAGTGATCACCAACATACAGAATTTGGCACTGTGCAGACAGCCACAGAGAAATTAACCCTATCACCACATTCTTCAGTGCACTTTATTGCAATTTATGCTGCTGCTCCAGAAATAGTATTGAAAGACCACTGGGGAGCACAACCTATACAAACATGCTTTCTACAAGTTTATGGGACCTTAAAATAAATTCTCCATCTCATTTTCTTTTTTAAAACTTCTTCACAAAGATACTGAAACTCAAGAACTTGAGTGCTTTATGGCATTTCACCTCACAAGATAATGCCCTCCCTGAAGACAAAAAGCAGACAGTATTGTAGCAAGCACCCAAGCCATGCTCCTTCTCTGCCATCCCAGCCTCCCAGAAAACATGCACTCCCACATACAAAACCTTCCAAAGGCCAGCAATTTTCTCTGTGCAATGCAATGTGCATCACTCCTGATATTACAGCTGTTGCGATGATCAGTTTTGAAATTGAATGAATAGATGAAATGAAGCAGACATTTACACTTTTCACCAATTTCTTCATGTATTTACATCGGTCATCAGTGCTCTCCAAAAACATCGTGGCAACAAAAAGGGATCAACTACAACACGGTATCCCTGATGATGCAAAGCAAATTCAGTAGGTGAGCATCTTTTATTTACCATTACGCATCACAGGATTCAAAAGATAAGAATAAATCCGGGGTTTCGTTCGGTTTGTGCATAAAGGTTTATCAGTATTTCACCCCAACCACTTACTCCCTCCTCCCAGGCTGCCCCATTCCCTGTGCTCACTCAACATCTTGCCACATGACGAAGAAGAGCTGACTGTCACTGAAGTAGGTTGGCCGAATGAAGGAGCTTCCTTTAAATATTTGTAGTGAGCGAAGCACAGCAAGAGAGGCAGCAAAAAAGAGGACATCTGCGTTAGCAGCAATGCTAGACTGCCTTGCCCCCAAGTTTCCATGAGACGTGACTAAAGTGAGATGGAGTCACTGTGAGCAGCAGATTGGGCACTTACGAGGTAATGCCTTCCTCTCCAATTGCCACGGTAACAAAGGAAAATACTGAGGGCCCATTGTCCCTGCACCTGCAGAGGGTATTGTTGCTCACCCATGCACTCCCACTGCTCAGCATTATTGCAGAGCTGGGAAGCACACAGTAAATAATTACCAACACCTCAGATGACTTCTCAATCTGCTCCGGTCTATAACAAAGTCTGTATGAGCGATACAACTCTGTTACCCAGGTTAAAAAGAAGAGCGAAGTTGCACACGGAGTGGGGGAAAATGTCACTGCTGTACTTGCTGTTACCTATTGAAGGAAGCAGAGACTCTAAATTACTGCTGGTGACTGAAAGAGGCTTATTCACAAGCATGAACAAAAGGCCCCAGGTGCTTCAGGAGAAACAGCTTGTGTGTAAATCAGATGAGTGACCCAACAGAACAACTTCATTTACAGCCTGATCTCAGGAAATCTCAGCAGCCTCTGTCCCCATCCGCCCAGCACGGTACACGAGGGACGCTCACCGCTGTGCCGTCAGCTCCACAAACGAGGGACCGGCCCTGCCTGAACGCTGCCTGACAAAATCCTCTCCTGAACTCGACTCTGTGCCCATTGAGTCTTCAAAATAAAGACTCGGAGCACAGAGGCCGGCCCGCAGCAAGGCACTGGGGATGCTGATGCTGCCCACCCCAGCGCAGAGGTGCAAAGCTGATTCTTGATAAAAGCTAAGCATCTTTAAAAGGCATTAAGTGGCATTAGATGGGGAACTAATTGACAAAAATCCACGGTTCCTTTTTCCTCACTGTTTTTTTTAGTCCCATTCCTTGACCTCTGAAATGTTTTCCCACTACAGAAATGCAGAGAGCAGAGTTTCAGGCTAGTTCAGCATCCGGCTGCTGGTGGAGGTTGGAGCAGCTGCTCTGCTTGTGATTAACACAGGCTTGCTGCACTTTGAATTAAAATAGGCTGAGCTGAGTGGGCAGCAACCCTGCATTGAAGGGAAGCCGTATTTTAACCTATTCAACTACTCTTGTAACTATACTGCCAGAACATTTTTTACTACATCGGATGGTTTGCCACTAATAGTCTACTTTCTATTCCAATTATTTCACGTCCTAAAGACAAATCTCAGCCCACATTCGATGGTGAGACTTTTGCCAGCACCAAGAGTTGGTTACTTCATTTATTCCCTATTGCATTACAAGATTACACGCTACAATTTCAGACTGTTCTTTATCAAATTTGCTCTCTTCTGGTCTTTCGCAAATACAATATACTACAGGTAACTAACAGAGTTTTAGTAAATTATGTTACAGGTCAGAAATGCATCACCTTCCCCTGTACAACAGCGCTTCTGCACGGGGAAAAACCAAAACCCTCGGACCACTGCAATTAACCACCACAGCACACAGGAGGTGTGAAAGCACAAACGCACCGCGCTAAACTCAGCAACAAGAATGGAACACTGGTTTAAGGATATTTTCTTTATAAACACTTTGGAGATCTTAATTAGAGAGTAGTACAGCATGAATGTCTTTTAAGCACATACCTTTTCCACATGCCGAAGGGCAACAAACTACTATGCACTGCTGAACTCTGCACTCACAATGCATTTCACATACCCACAACGCCTTTGCTTTACAGCCAACATAACAAATATCTGTGCACTTCTTAACTAGACGGTGGCAAAGCCAGAAAGGAAATCATTTTTTTCCCTAATTGCTGACTTTTAGGCATCTGTACCCAATGCTCATTTCAGCTGCTAGCCACACCTATCTCAGTCCTTTCCTAGCTCAGAATTACTCCCCTTCTAGCACAGCATTCAGTGTTCAACTCTGAAGAAAAACCAATACTATTTCTGCTTCTCTTAGGAGATGGTAATTCAGATCCTGTTCACACATTTCCATGAAGGAACACAAGTAGAATACAACACGCTGACAAGATGAATGGTTTAAAAACTGAGGGAAATGGGGCTTCTGCAGGTTGGCCCCACTGATCACAATGAGGGAACTGGATAACACGGCACAGAGAGAAACAGGTACTTATTACTAGAACTGAGACAAAAGGCGAAGAAGTAGAAATTCTACTGGTCCACAGCAATAAAACAAACACTCCATACTAATCCAGCCCTTGGCTTGATATGAGGAGACAGGTCTTTCCCTGTTTCTTTTTTCCATCACTGGAGAAGTGCAACACGGGATGGCTGTGAGGTACAGTTCCCCTTAAAAGGCTCTCAGAACACTGTTTCCTCACGCTCTCCAAGATCCAAACGCAGGAAGCACTCCTTAGGAATGCTGACCCCATACCACGCTTCATCACATCAACACCCAGATGTTAGGAGGATTCTTAACAGCCACAATTAGTTCAAATGTCCTGCAGAAAGCAGAAGCAAGCCCCAGACTCCTCACTCCCACTCAGCTCCTCTTAGTACGTTTTTTTTTTGGCCACGTATTTAACTAAGCCAAAGCCAAAAATACAACACATCACTTTCACGTTGTGCCAGCAGGCACTATTCCTGCCACCACAGAATGCAACACATTGTATGAAAGGTATCAGAGCAGGGGGCTGCTATTTACATTACAAATGCAGGTGTCATGAAATCTAACCCCAGGAATGTGCTTCTTGCTAAAAAGTCATTTTGGCTCATTGCTTTGCTCTGCTTTTAAACCTCTCACTTATGGGACCCTGTACATTCCCCCTCTGCCGTTCAGATAGGTATTAGTTCAATTAAACACATGATATAGATAGAAAAAAAGGAAAAAAAAGCACCTCCCAGTGCCATTTGCATACTTTCAAAGTCTGCCAAACACATCCTATTTTTTAGCTTGATTGGCACTTGATCCCATGGGCTAAGTTCTATGATACAACTTAAAAAAAACACCTTTTATTTTATTTTAGTAGATTTCTGTGGGTCTTTGCTTTTTTTCTTTCTTCCCCCT